ATTATCACTGTACACAGCTTAAAGGAAAAAGGGGAGTGTGTTGAGCAGCCACCCATCCCTGTACTGAAGAGGGGCAGGTAGAAAAATCTTAGATATGGAGCTACTAAGTCTGGTTTAATAGTCAAGATCATCGCATTTGAAGTTCTAATTTTTGTTATTTAGTTCGTAACTAAAACGATTTCCTTCTGGAATATACTTGTAGTCTTGTTAAGGTTTATGTGTACACACGCTGGTCACAGCAAGCAGATAAAGTGCCCTCATCAAACTATTCTCTACTGGAAAAGGAGATGAAAGATTTTGTCCCTGTTGCCACCTGTTGCAGATGTCAATGTTAATAAGTTCAGAGTATCCATTAGTGCATTTTGATGAGTGCATAACAAGTTTCTGTTGGTTTATATTTTGGGGGGAAGCCAAGAAAAAAGGCAAGATTCTCCAACTGCACAAATTGCACTATTTGTGTTCCCAACATTAACAGGCAGAAACAGTAACACTTAAAATGTGCAGCAGCAGGTTTTTTTTTTTTTTTTTTTTTTTTTTGACTCAAAGGACCTGAATTCAGTGGGCATGTCCTTTTAAGTTCACTTTGTCGTAGACAGTTTAAGATATGGTCATTTCTCAGTCCTTAATTCTCCAAATCTAGATTTATAAAGTAACAATGTGAATCCCGTTGTGAAACTGGGGAAATAATGTCCACCTCAGTTTAGCTGACAACCAAAAGATGCTTTTCACATCAAAGAAATTATCAAAAAGGCTGTGTCACATTCCAAAGCCAAAAAAAAAATTAATAAGAATGCAAACACGATGAATATTGTACCACTGCCAAGACTCTGCCTACAGTGGAGCTTCAGCGATGCTGTCCTGTGAAGCAGCCTTCCGTTTGCCTGGCTCCTCTTCCAGAGCCAAGTTTCTGTGCCATGCCACCCCGTGGAGGAGGTCCTCTTCCATCATGCTCACACATCATTCTGCCACCCACAATTCCACGTGGACCACCAGGACCTTGATCATTGCGCCTAACAACTCTGCAATCATCACCACCACCTCTGGTTTCTCGCTCTCTTGTAGCTCTTGTTTTTTTCTCTTTCACATTTAAACTACTTCCCCTCGAAACATAATCGGTTTCGCAATTAAGATTCTCTGAACTGGTTCAGAGTCATCGAAAACCACAAAACCAAAATTTGGAAGCTTTCCCCCAACACCCTTGGTATTGATATGAAGTTCCACGTTTCCAAAACTCATGAAGAATTCTTCCAGTTCATTTTCATCAATATCATGTGGCAAGTTACCAACAAAAAGTTGATGACTATCTGGATAGTGAATTATTCTATGGTTGTCAGAGTCATTCAGTTCTATATCTCCTCTGCCTGGTCTTGGTCTTCTAGCAGGAAAAGCAGGTCATTGTCTAGGTCGCTGTTCATGAACAGGAGGTGGCTGGGATTGAACTTCTGGTTTAGCTTCAACTCTTGGCTTTGGTGGTTCTTGTGGCAGAGAAACAGGTTCTGCCAGAGGAGGAGGAGTAGACTTCTCCTATAATTCTTCTAAATTCTTCTCCTCCACTTGTGGTTTCAGGTCTTCAGTCTTTGTTTCAGATTCTGGCGCAGGTTCAGGTTCATGAGAGGATTCTTCCAAAGGCTCCTCTATGCCATTAGTCACAGGGTGAGCTTCATAGTAACCACTGTTTGCATTTTCTTGCACAGGTTCAGGAGATGGTTGTCTTTCTTCTTGTTCCTCTTTTACTTCATCTTCTTCATCAAGTTCGGGCTCAGAATCACTGAACACTTCCTCTTCATTACGAAACATATCATTGTGAACATGAAATTTATTTGGGACAGATCCTTCAGGAGCCAGAACAAAGGTCTGCATAAAATTCCTTTTCGGTTTTCCACTGTTAGCAAACCCATGACCTGGACAACTACTCCATCACTTAAGGTTGCATGAGCATCCACATGATGAATTTTATATGACATTCACTGAAGTTCAGAGATAATACTTAGTGGTGTATATCATTTTGGCCATAGCTGTTTAGCTTCCTGGGGTTTTCCTCTAGCATCTACTCTACCATGAACATAGGAAGAATTCCTGCCACAAAACCCGTGTAAACATTCTGGAGCTTTACTCAGCAAAGTATAATATTGTTTCACAAACTCCCGCCCTACAAGCAGCGGACTGGGATTCTCCATAACCATTTCTTTGCTGCACAATGTCAAATGCCGGTGTTTAGATCTAGTAATTCCTTTCAGCAGGTTTGAAGAGCAAGAGCTGAGAAATGCGCCCTCCAGTGGCAGAATGAGGGGCGTCTAGTACCCTTTTTACCACCAAACAAAGCCCTGTCACGTCAGCAGAAGAAACATTTCTTTCAACTCAAAAAAATAAGACCTCAGATTTGATAGCTTGCAGTAAGTCCTGCTTGGCGACAATTAAACACCCTGCAAGTCGAAACACCGACCATGTCTCTTTGAAAAAGAAAATCTAGCAGGGAATTCAATGGCCATACACTGGAGGGAATGTAAAATTTGTCCAGGAAAATCACTAAAAAATTAGCAACTAGAAAAACAACAACAATCCTTGTGGGGTAGAAGAATCTGATACTAAAGTTGTGTAATATATTATTTAAAATGTTCAGTTTGCACCACAAAATTAAGAGACATGCAAAGAAACAGAAAAGTATGATATATATGCAGGAAAAAAAGGGGTGCCAACAAAAACGTCCTGGAGGGGGCCTATATTTTGGACTTAGTAGAAAAAGCTTTTATATCAGCTATTATAAATACAGTTGAACCTTGAACAAAACAGGTTTGAACTGTACAGGTCCACTTATATGTGGATTGTTTTCAACCAAATATGGATCAAAAATATAGTATTCTGGGATGTGAAACCTGCATATATGGAGGGCTGACATTTTGACTACATGTGCATTCCTCAGGGCCACCTGTGGAACTCGACTGTGTGAATTTTGGCATACGCAGGAGTCCTGGAACCTATCCCCGCATATACCAAGGGACTTAAGGATATTCGAACTTAAGGAAATTATGCCTAAAAAAATTTCAGGAAAGTGTGACAACAATATCTCACCAAATAGAGACTAGAGATGGAAGTTGTTTTTAAAAAACAAATTCTGGAGTTTAAAAGTATAATATCTGAAGTGAAAAATTAAATAGAGGGGCCCATTAAGAGATTTAACAGGAAAAAGGAATAATCAGCCAACAAGAAAACAGGTTAATGAAGAAATCCACTCTGAAGAACAGAAAGAAAAATGAATTTAAAAAAAAATGAAAGAGGCTGGGTGTGGTAGCTATGCCTGTAATCCGAGCACTATGGGAGACCAAGATGGGCAGATCACTTGAGGTCAGGAGTTCAAGACCAGCCTGGTCAACATGGTAAAACCCTGTCTCTACTAAAAATACAAAAATTAGTCAGGTGTGGTGGCAAGTGGCTATAATCCCAGCTACCTGGGGGGCTGAGGCATGAGAATTACGTGAACCCAGGAAGCAGAGGGTGCAATGAGCCAAAATCACATCACTGCACTCCAGCCTGGGTGACAAAGCCAGACTCTGTCTCATAAATAAATAAATATTAAAAAATTAAAAAGTTAAAAAAAAAATGAAAGAGCCTCACAGACCTGTTGGACATCATCAAGCATGACAAAATACAGTATGCATAACAGGAGTTCTAAAAATAGAAGAGAAAGGAGCAGAAAAAAATATCAGAATAAATAATAACTTCAAATTTCCAAAATTGGATGACAAATATTAATCTATACGTCCGCGCTCAGTGAACTATAACTAAATTCAGTGAGATCCATATCTAGACACTCATAATCAAATTGATGAAAATCAGACAAAAAGAAAATCTTTAAAGAACACAAAAATAGACTTGTCATGTATAAGAGATCTCAATAAAATTAAGAGCTGACTTCTCATCAGAAACCATACAGGCCAAAAGACAATGGGATGACACTGTCAAAGTGTTGAAAGAGTAAGAAGAATTCACCTAAATCTTTCAAAAATGAAGGCGACCTGGCCAGGTCTGGTGGTGGCTCACACCTGTAATCCCAACACTTTGGGAGGCTGAAGCAGGCGGATCACTTGAGGTCAGGAATTCGAGACCAGCCTGGCCAACATGGTGGCACCCCATTTCTACTAGAAACATAAAAATTAGCCAGGGATAGTGGTGGGCACCTGTAATCCCAGTTACTTGGGAGGCTGAGGCAGGAGAATCACTTGAACCTGGGAGGCGGAGGTTGCAGTGAGCCAAGGTAGTGCCACTGTACTCCAGCCTTAAGACTCCATCTCCAAAAAGAAAACAAAACAAAACAAAAAATGTGAAGGAGATCCACACACAACACTGCACTATAAACTCCTTGAAGAAGGTTAGACATCATGCTCTGCAAGTAGTTCAGGATTGTCATGTTTTAAGAAAATGAGTAACAGTTTTCTGTAGGTGAATTTTAATCTATAGAAAAAGAAGTGTGTCTTGTGAAAAGTATGTAATAGAGTTAAGAGCATCAAACTGTGCACTGTCTTTTGAGAGCCAACTGTCCAGTTGTGAGAGTTCAAAGGTGGATAAAAGCTAGTCTATATACCAGGAGAGAAGTGAATAGGTCAAATACAATTGAGATTTGGAAATAACCAGTTATAACAGTAAAGTAGCCATGCCCCTAGATTTACTCTTTTGTTTACCTATTCTTTATTTCAGAAACCTAATGTTAAGTATCAAAAGCAAAATATTTGTTGTGAAAAAGATGTGAAAAATGGAAGATGGCTAATTCTTGGGAACATGCAAAATGAACTTTATGCTTTCAGTGTTCATTCTAATAACTAGTTCTTCTTGATGACTAGAATACAAAGAATACTAAAAAATCTGAATTTCCACTGAACCAAGCATTTTTAGAATAAGACCTTTCCTGAATATGCCACTGTTTTGACTTCTGCTTTTGTTAAGATTGAAATGGGCCAGGCGCCGTGGCTCATACGTATAATCCCAGCACTTTGGGAAGCGAAGGCAGGCACATGACTTGAGCTCAGAAGCTGGAGACCGGCCTGGGCAACATAAGGAGACCCCATCTCTATTTAAAAAAANTTAGCTGGGCATAGTAGTGTGAGCCTGTATTCTCAGCTACTTGGGAGGCTGAGGTGGGAGGATCACTTGAGCCCAAGAGGTCAAGACTGCAGTAAGCTGTGATGGTGCCACTGCACTTCAGCCTGAGCGACAGAGTGAGACCCTGTCTCAAAAACAAAACAAAAAAGGCTGGAATGAAATCGTTATTATTTTGCATTATTTCCCCAAATCCTAGAAAGTCTAAGTCCAAACGGTTTTGATTTCTTTTACAAGAATGATTTTGCCTTTTCACATCTTTAGGTGTCTTATTGCATAAAATAAAACTTTATTAATAGACTTATTAGGCAAAAATTTTTTTTTTCAATTTTGTACTTTTCAGTATTTTTTCTATCAACTTTATGGCAGAAAAGGAAGCATCTATTTTCATAAAGAGAAGAGTTTTAAATAGCTAGCCATTTTAGATTTCCTATTATAATAGGATTCTACTTGTTATACATAATTAAAGAAATTTAACCTGGGCCAGAATAGGAGGTATTAAGAATACCAGATGTTTCTGTGAGCTGGAAGCTGTCACAGCAGTGACACACTTGAACTGGAAATCACCAAAATTTCCTTCTTATTTTCTAGTCACCAAACAAAACACAGCATGCTTTTTCATATTTTATGGTTTTTAAGTTGAATTATATCAGGCCCTTCAACAGCCTTTGATCCAATTTAAGCTAGTTCTCTATGTCCTTGTTTTTAAAAAACAAATTCCATAAATGGAAAAAAAAATTAAAAATAGAAGCTCTGCTAATAAAAAAACTGGAAATTCATTGCTAGCTGACCTAAAACTTACAAGAAATATTAAAGTGAGTCCTTCAGGATGAAATAAAAGAATGCTAGATAGTAACTCAAATCCACATGAAGAAATAAAGCACACTACTGAAGAGAACTACATAGGTAAGTATAATATTCAATATAAATGTACTTTACAACTTTTTACTTCTATCTGGTTTCAAAGTCAACTGCATAAAGTAATAACGATAAAATTGTGTCAATGAGCTTATAACATGTAAAGATGTAATGTGTATAACTAATAGTACAAAGAAGTTGTGAGGGAATATGTGTGTGTGTGTGTGTGTGTGTGTGTGTGTGTGTGTGTGTGTATCACACACATACAGAGAAATATTTTGTGTACCACTGAAGCTAAGTTAGTATTAAACTGAACTAGAGGCCAAGCAAGGTGGCTTAGGCCTATAATCCCAGCATTTTGGGAGGCTGAGGGGGACGGATCGCCTGAGGCCAGGAGTTCAAGACCAGCCTGGCAAACATGGTGAAACCCCATCTCTACTAAAAATTCAAAAAAAATCCCAGCTACTCAGGAGGCTGAGGCAGGAGAATCACTTGAACCCAGAAGCAGAGGTTGCAGTGAGCCGAGATCGTGCCACTGAACTCGAGCTTGGGCAACAGAACAAGACCCCATCTCCAAAAAAAACATGGCCAGGTGCAGTGGTTCATTCCTGTAATCCCAGCACTTTGGGAGGCTGAGGCAGGTGGATCACCTGAGGTCAGGTGTTTGAGACCAGCCTGGCTAACATGGTGAAACCTTATCTCTACTAAAAATACAAAAATTAGCTGCACATGGTGGCGGGTGCCTGTAATCCCAGCTACTCGGGAGGCTGAGGCAGGAGAATCGCTTGAACCTGGGAGGTGGAGGTTGCAGTGAGCCAAGGTCGTACGATTGCACTCCAGCCTGGGTGATAAGAGCAAAACTCCATCTGAAAAATAAGCAAATAAACACCCAAAAACAAAAAACAAAACCTAGAAAAAAACTGAACTAGATTGCTTTTAAATTAAGAAGCTCATTGTAGATACCACAAGAAAAGAACTAAAAAATATAATATAAGAAAGGAATATAGGGCCAGGTACTTCACTCACACCTGTAATCCAGCAATTTGGGAGGCTGAGTAGGAGGATCGCTTAAGCCCAGGAATTCGAGGTCAGCCTGGACAATATAGTGAAAGCCTGTATTGAAACAAATTTTTTTTAATTAGCTGGGCATGGTAGCATGTGCCTGTGGTCCCGGCTACTCAGGAGGCTGATGTGGGAGGTTGAGGTTGTAGTGAGCTGTGTGATCGCACCATTGCACTCCAGCCTGGGTGACAGGGTGAGACCCTGTCTCAAAAAGAAGAAGAATGAAAAGTATAATATAATAGGTCGGGCGCAGTGGCTCATACCTGTAATCCCAGCACTCTGGGAGGCTGAGGTGGGTGGATCACCTGAAGTCAGGAGTTTGAAAACAACCTGGCCAATGTGGCAAAACCCCATCTCTACTAAAAATACAAAAATTAGCTGGGTATGGTGGCATGCACCTGTAGTCCTAGCTGCTCGGGAGGCTGAGGCAGAAGAATCGCTTGAACCTGGGATATGGAGGCTGCAGTGAGCCAAGATCACACCACTGCACTCTAGCCTAGGCGACAGAGCGAGACTCCGTCTAAAAAAAAAAAAAGTATAGTATAATAATACATATAAAGGAACAATGGAATTTAAATGTTACATTGGAAAACATCTAACATAAAAGAAGGCAGGAATACTGAGAGTCAGAGGATGAGGAAAAAAAGAAAAAATTGAAAATATATAGTAAACAAAGAACAAAATGACAGGCATAAATCCTACCTTACATTAAATGGAAATGGTTTAAATGACAGAGATTCACAGAATAAAAAACATGATCTAACTATACATGATGATAGCAATAAACACAATTCTGATTTAAAGACACAAATATATTCCAAGTAAAAGAATATAAAAAGATATGGCATGCAAGCAGCAACCAAAAGAAAGCTGGATTGTTATACTAATAACAAAATAATCTCTCCGCTAGCCATCCAAAATGCCAAAAGGAATGAAGGCTAAGTGGAAGAAGATAGCCCCCTCTCCTGCTATTGTGAAGAAGCAGGAGGCCAAGAAGGTGATGAATCCCATTTGAGAAAAGGCCTAAGAATTTTAGCACTGGACAGGACAACCAGCCCTAAAGGGGCCTCACCCACTTTGTCAAATGGCTCTGCTATATCAAGTTGCAGCGGCAAGAAGCTATCTATCTTCTATAAGTGGCTGAAAGTGCCTCCTGCAAATAACCCAGGCCTTGGACTGCCAAATAGCTACACAACTGCTTAAGCTGGCCTATAAGTACAGACCAGAGACAAAGCAAGAGAAAGAAGCAGAGATCATTGGCCCAGACTGAGAAGAAAGTTGCCAGAAGGATGTCTTCATTAAGAGGCCTTCGAGCAGGGGTTAACACTGTTACCACCTTGGTGGAGAACAAGAAAGCTCAGCTGGTAATGACTGCACATGACATGGATCTCATAGAGCTCTAGCTGTCTTCCTGTCTGCCCTGCATCATAAAATACAAAGGGAAGAGAAGACTGGGATGCCTAGCCCACAGAAAGACTTGCACCACTGTCACCTCCATACAGGTTAACTTGGCACACAAAGGAGCTTTGGCCAAGCTGGTGGAAGCTATCAGAACCAAGGACAATGACAGACAGGATGAGATAGATCCACTGTCACTTGGGAGGCAATATCCTGGGTCCAAAATCTCTGGTTCACATTGCCAAGCTGGAAAAGGCAAAGGCTTAAGAATTTGCCATTAAGCTGGGCTAAATGTAGACTGTTGAGTTTTCTGGAGAAATAATAATTCTCCTTCAGCCAAAGAAAAAGAAATATAAATTAATATCAAGAAGACATGACAATTATAAACACATGTGCAACTAACAACTGAGTTCCAAAATACACAAAGCAAAATTGACAGAATTGAAGGGAGAAATTCAACAATGGTTGGAGACTTCTATAACCCACTTTTAATAAGTGATAGAACTAGGCAGATGATCAACAGAGAAACAGAAAACTTGAACAGCCCTGTAAACCAATGAGGCCTAACAGGCATATATGGAACATTCCACCCAACAACAGCAGAATACACACTTTTCTTAAGCATACATGAGTTCAAGACGAGCCTGGGCAACATAGAGAGACCTTGTTTCTAAAACAAATTTAAAAAAATAGCAAGTGGCATGTGCCTGTAGTCCCAGCTACTTGGGAGTCAGAGGCAGAAGGATCACTTGAGTGAGACCAGGGGGTCGAGGCTGCAGTGAACCATGATCACACCACTACACTCAACCCTGCACAACAGAGTGAGACCTTATCTCAAAATAATAATAATAATAATAATAATAATAATAATAATGTGTAAGACTTGTACACTAAAAACTAAAAATGATTGTTAAAAGAGATTTAAAGACAACCTGGCTGGGCGTGGTGGCTCATGCCTGTAATCCCAGCACTCTGGGAGGATGAGGCGGGTGGATCACATGAGGCCAGTAGTTCAAGACCAGCCTGGCCAACATGGTGAAACTCTGTCTCTACTAAGAATATAAAAATTAGCTAGGCATGGTGGTACATGTCTGTAATCCCAGTTACTCAGGATACTAATGTTATGGAACATCTTTTCATGTATTTATCAGTCATTCATATATCTTCTTTAGAAAAATGCCTATTTGAATCTTTTGCCCATTTTTAAATTGGATTTTTAAATCTTTTATTGTTGAGTTGTTGAACCGTCATGCCCTGCTGGTAGGACTGTAAAACGGTGCAACTACTTTGGAAAAAAAGTCCAGTAATTCCTCAAAAGATTAAACATAAAGCTCCCATGTCATACAGCAATTCCACCCCTACATATCTACCCAACAGAAATGAAAACATATGTCCACATACAAACTTAAACACAACTCTTCATAGCAGCATTATTTGTAATAGCAAAAAAATAGAAAACAATACAAATGTCCAACCACTGATGAATAAATGGAGCATTATTTGGCAATAAAAATAAATGAAGTACCAATACGTGCTGCAACATGGTTAAACTGTAAATACTGTGCTAAGTGAAAAAAGTTACAAAAGACCACATAACATGTGATTCCATTTACATAAACTGTCCAGATTAGGCAAATATTTTATTTTATTTAT